GTTTCCTCCTCCATAAGATGAAAATAAACTACTCAAGGTTAGTTAAGGATCAAAGAGTTAATGTATGACCTTGGCTATTACTTAAGAATATTATTCTGTGCATTCTACATGCCTGCTCTATATGTCTAAATGAGTCTAAATTTCCCTGGATTTCTTTTTCACAATACTGTCCAGAGACCAGATTTGGATCTTTTGTATTGAATGAAAGTTCTTTATGGTCTCATCCCAAACTTGCTTTCCAGCCCCATCTCCAAGTGCCCCCCTTCCCTGGCCACTCTCTTCCGTCTACCCACCCTCATTCACAGCCTCACCCCAGCTGAAAGGGTCCTCTTTCCCAAATAACTCAGTCTTTCCTGTGACTCCACACCTGCACACCTGTGCCCGTGCTGGTATCTGTCCTTTGTAGAACTGTTTTGTCTTGCAAGCTACTTTTTGTCCTTAAGGATTGATTAAGACCTTAGGTGAATACCATACCGTAGACTGAGTTCTGGCCAAAATGAGTCAGACAGGTTATTTTCTCCATCCTTCCAGCTCTTTCCCTGTGGCATATCTCCATGGTCAGCAAAAAAATCCAAACTGAATCTCATCTAAGCGAAATAAAACTGTTCTCGCAAAAGAGACTTGGATATAAATTATCCCCCCAAACTTTCTGCTGGACGACGCTCCTTTAGCATCTATTTTGTGAAACTGAAGAGAGCATTCGAAACCATTAGTGTTCTTTTAGAGAGTAAATGCAGCGTTGGCTGAGCCCTGGGGAATGCCAGTTAGAATAAACTATAGTAAATTGCCTGGAGACGATCTACTCCAAGCCAGTTCCTGGAAAGCTGGTTAAAGCTGGGGACAGTTAAGTCATTCTGAACACCAACTTACCTTGTCTTCCCTCTTATCCCACTTTGTGATCTTTGTGGTCTCTACTTTTTCTCCCTCATCCCCTGCATTAGTCAGGGTTCTCCAGAGAGACAGAGTGGATAGGACGTGTTATAAACCTATGAGAGGGGATGTGTTAGGGGAATTAGCTCACGCGATTGTAAAGAGAAGTCCACGAAAGGTCGTCTGCAAACTGGGTGCCAGTAGCGTGGTTCAGTCCAGCTCCGAGGATGTCAAAGCAGGGAAGCCAATAGTGCTGTTGGTGTAAGTCCTGGAACCCAAAAGCTGGAGAGTCTCTGGCTCTGATGTCCACGATCAGAACAGCAGAGTGTATCCCAGCTCCAGAGGCTGGAGAGAGATTGACCTTTTTTCTCTGTTTTTGTTCTCTCGAGGCCCCCAGTGATTGGATGGTCCATGCCCATGTTGAGGTCGGGTCTTTCCCGCCCAGTCCACCCAGGCTCACATGCTAATCTCTTCTGGAAACACCCTCATAGGCACACCTAAAAAATAGCTTTACCAGGTTTCTCGGCATTCCTTCATCTAATCAAGCAGACAACCTAAAATTAACCCTCACACCCCCTTTCACTCTGCTGCAGACAACCCCCACCCCCACAAATGTCCCATTTGTCCCCATTGTCCTCGCAGGTCTTCACTGCACCACACAGGGTCCAGGCATTGCTCTATGCTGTGGGAAAAATCCTAGCCCCTATCGAGCTTCTTGGTGGTGGCGATGGGCAGGGGAGTGACAAGTGATAACTAATAATAAAAACAGTAGAAGAGAGTTCCAGGTAATCGCATTGTAGATAAAATAGGGCCATAGGGTAGAAATGGTGTGAGGGGGTAGAGCTTCTTTGGCTGGAAGCTTCAGGGAGGTCACCTCCAAGAAGTTGGAGCTGAGACCTAATAAGGACGAGGGAGCACCATACACAGACCAGGGACAGGAGTGCTGTTTCAAGAGGGAGGAAGCAGGCCAGGGAGGTTGGTGTGAGTCAGAAACAGGCAGGAGTCACAGGTGCAGGGCCCCACAAGCAGGGCTGAGGAATGGGATATTTTTTTCCAAGTGCAGTGGGAAGCCCCTGGAGTGATTAAGCCACAGAGTTGTAAGATCTCACTGATGCACAGAGAAGGCTGCTCAGGTTGGCAGCGTGACTCTGTACGTGTGTATGTGTGCACATGTATATGTTGGGGTGAGCTAAGACTGACCGATTAGTGAGAGCAATGCCCCTTGCTTTTCCTGGAGTCACCAGTGGAACTGTGGAAACATCCTCCCTGCCCAGACCCTTTCTTCATTCATTCCTTCATCCTTTCAAAACACATTTATGAGGTGTCCCTTATGTACCATGGAGTGGTGTATGTGCCAGGTAACAAAGAGGACCCAAAGAGTTGTAGCTCTGGCCTCATGGAACTTACCCAAGTGGAGAGAGAGATGGTCATCAGTGGAGGTGCACAGCACAACTGTGTCATTACCAGCTCGTCACTTCCTGGGTGAACATTGGAGAGGGTTTCCCTGAGGAAGTCACAAGGAGCCCAAGGCCCCGAGTTTGAGTGAGAGGCCACTGGGCCAGGAGTTCTGGACACAAAAACAGCAGCAGCACGGAGGGCAGGGGAGATGGCGAGGCAGGAGTGGGTGGATCTGAAAGGTCTCAAAGGCCATGGGGATGTCCTGGTCTCTCTCCCTAGGACAGTGGGAGCCACAGAAGGGTTTGAAGCAGTAAAGTGGCAAAACAAGTTTGTGTGTTTGCATGTTTAGATGACTTGGGTGGGAGGTGGCTGGCATGGTCCAGGGAATGAAAGGTGAGGAAGTAGGTCTGGGGGAGAGAAAGGGGCATGGAGGGACTTTTTATATTCTAAAGGTTTCTTGAGGGCTGGGGGTGGGGGACTGGAAACAGTCTTTTGACCTATGAGTGAGGAACCTGGATCCTTCCTGGACACATGATTCTTTGTAATGTGCATCTGTCCCATCTGAGTTTGGGGTGTGTGTGTGTGTGTGTGTGTGCGTGTTTGTGTGCGTGCATGCAAATATGCAGAGTACCTAAACCGTGTCCCTCAGAGCTCTTATTTAAAAGATGCTTTTCATATGTACCATATAAACCATTACCTAATAGAATGATTACCCTCTGGTTAATAAAACAGACCAAAATGAATTCTTTACTAATCACTTCCCCGAAGCATGAGCTTACCTGAATTCACCTCAGCCATCCACTATCTTCACATAGCACTTCTCACTTTAATTTACAGGTATTCTGTAGATTTTGATTTCTTTTGTATGAAGAATGTAATTCTAGAGGACTACTACTATAAGAAGGAGTGTGCTCTCGGTGTTGCAGAGGTGGTTTAGAATCATGCAACAAAAGGAAATTAAAAGAAAAACAAGCTTTGCATTTTTAAATCTATAATTGTTTTCTACTGCAATCACATAGCCAGGTTTGTCCAGTATCAGCAATCACTTAGGTATATTTCTTAGCAAATGTATTGTTGTACTATATATCTTTTTGAATGTGTATGTATCTTCCTAAGATTGTATGTAAGTTTATTAAATACTTAATGCACAGTAAATGAAAGGCTTTATCTTTCTAATAAAACCAAGCCACATGAAAATGGATCCTATTTCATGTTGTCTTCAATTACTATAAAGGTTGCACCAACATGTTTCAAGATTTGCTTGACAACCTCTACCAGTTGTGATAAAGGAAAGATAAAGAGAAGAGGTTAGAATCTACAAGAAGACTTTTAACCTTTGTCTGTTCCTTCTCTATCCCATTTTTCATGATTCCCCTTCCCAGATGACAGCACTGACCTGTCATCAGTAGGATGGCTGCTTCTGGGTTGTTTCACAAGTAGAGGGTGGTTGCTGCAAAGCCTTCTCATTTCTCTTCCAGACTGTCCTTCAAAGAAATAGTACCCTTTTGTAGCTTGTGGGGTCAAGTTTCTTTTTTTTTTTCCTTTTTGTCTTTTTTCGTGTCCGGCAACGGACCGCAACCCTCAGTGTCGCGCCCGCACCGGACCGGGACCGGCAACGGGATCACAAGCCTCGATGCTGCGCCCTCCCCTCGCTCAGCCAGTGAGCGGGAACCGGTCTGTATGTGGGATCCGAACCCTCGGCGGGAGCGCCGCCGCACTCCCAAGCGGCGCACTGTAGCAGTGCGCCACCGGGCCAGCCCTGGGGTCAAGTTTTTATTTGTGGTCTTAGAGGTCACTTTTTTATTTCTCTGTTAGAAATTGGCTCCCTGCTGCAGGAATAGAATCCATACAGTTGGTTCAGTTAACACCATGGTCGAACTGGTTGAGCTGAGGGATTTCATAAAATAATATTCATTTGCATAATGGTATTTTACAATCAACCTTCTGCTTTAGAATGGACTTAAATATTGTACAGCATATTTCTTAAGATTAAATAGACAACCAGATTTTTGGAGTAGCTCAGATGTAAAAAGAAGAATACAGGAAAAGAATGTACAATGAATAAAATTTATTAACATTGTGTGAATAAACCTAGCTCGTTAAATAATTTCCTTTTATAAAGTCTTCTTGTTGCTATGCTTTTATCACCAGGGACTCACTAAGGGAAACTATCTACTTTAAAAGAAGGGATTATGAAAATATCAGCAACAACAGCAATAATAGTAATGACATCAATATCACCTGCTGTCACAACATATTGGGTTGGACCCATTTAGTGATATTTTCTCTTTTCTGATAATTTAGCTAAATGCTGAAGCTGAATCAGACTGATGAAATAATATACTGGAATAAATATGACCTCTATAAATTATTCATTTAAGCCCAAATGAAAAATGTGTACATTAAATCATTTGCAATTTTAAGTTATTTTTTCATAATCTTCATAAATGTGGAACTTGAACTGATGCATTTAACATTATTTGTATGTGTACCCTATATAATTAATATATGTATTGATATATATATACACATGTATATACTTAGAAACTATTTACTCGAGGAAATCTTTTCAAAATCCTCTTTTAAATGGGTCCGTGTATAAGAAAACCAGAACAGTCGTTGGTGAGATATTCTCTTGTAAGCTCTTAAGTACACTTCATAAGTGAGTTAACTGTATGTTAACAGTGCAATAGGAATAATGTCTCCTTTTCTCCTGCCTTCCTTTTGTTCAGAGAATTTGGATGGAGAGACCCAGAACTGCCTGAAGTGATCCAGATGTTGCAGCATCAGTTTCCTTCCGTCCAGTCGAATGCGGCAGCCTACTTACAACACCTCTGCTTTGGAGACAATAAAATAAAAGCTGAGGTAAGTACTATTTGGATTTCCAAATGAATGGTGTCAGATTTATAAGCACTCAGGTTTTTTAGAGTAATGTTGAAAGGGGAGAGAAGTAGAACAACTCTAGGTATATTTTTAAAATTTCAATCTGTCCTTCAGACTGAAACATAGCACTTTTCATCTAATTAATTGGCTTGTCTATGCATACATTTTTCTTTTTTTGTATTTGAATACTGAGGAATGCTGGTATCAACAGAGTCTGGATTGTCAAATGCCATACTTTGGGTGGGGTTTGCCTTTCTCTCTTCAGTTTTATCTCTGGGAGTCATCTTTACCCCTAAATACTACAAAAAATTAAAAAAAAAATCCATCTATTGTTATCTCCTCAAATTACAACAGAATTTATGGTCAATATAGGTTGAGTATTTCTCATCCAAAATGCTTGGGACAGAGAAGTGTTTTGCATTTTAGATTTTTTCAGATTTTGGAATATTTTCATATCTATAAAATGAGATGGTTTGGGGATGGGACCCCCAACTCTAAACACGAAATTCACTTATGTTTCGTATATACCTTCTATACATTGCCTGAAGGTAGTTTTATACAATATTTTTCATAATTTTGCATGAAACAAAGTTTGTGTTAAGTACTTGTGTGAAATTTTCGCCTTGTAGCATCATGTCAGTGCTGAGAAAGGTGCATTATTTTGGAGCATTCTGGATTACAGACATTAGGCTTAGGGATGCTCAACCTGTGCATGCTATGGCCTGTCCTTCTGGGAAAACTCATTGATAAGGTGGGGACTTCAGGCAGTAAACTGGCTTTGAGTTATAACCAAGTGTTTTGAGCCATTTACAAAGGTAGTAGTGGATATAATATTGATAAGAGTGTTCCATTAAAGATACTGTTGTCTGTGTCCATCATGTATACAATTGTTAATATAGTTTGTGTGTCTGGAACACTCTAAAGTGTATGCATTGCTGTGGGCGATGTTTCTGTAAAATCACAGTGGTCACCACAGCTAACCCATTTTTTTTTAGACAAGGGACAAACATTTGCATACAATCAGCTGAGCAACCAAATTTTTAAAAAAGATTTCATAAACTATAATGAGTCATCTCCATAGCATGTAAGCAATTTTGAGTATGAGTCTAAATTAGTTTAAGACTGGAAAGAAGAGAGTTGAAGATATAATTGCAATTTATTATAGATTTTGCTTGCTTGCATTGGGTTGTATATAGCCTAGCAGCTTTTCATCTTTTATTTTTTTTCATCTCTCCTGCACTGAGACTACAAAACTTGGTCCATGCTCATTCGTATCAGAAAAGTCATATTTCTTTGGGGAATGAATATACAACAGTTGTTCTCAACCAGGTGTGATTTTGGTCCCTCAGGTACATTTGACATCTGGAGACATTTATGGTTGTCATATCTGGAGGGAGTTGTAGTGCCAATGGCATCTAGTGGGTAGAGCTCAGGGTTGCTGCAAAATGCCCTACAATCACAGGGTGGCCCCCATAACATATAATTATCCAGATCCAAGTTTCAATACTGCCAACGTTTAGATAAAGAAAAATATCTTCCATCTAAGATGAATCTAAAATGTGAAAAAATACCAACTGTTAAAATGACCTAAAAACACATTAAAATTATGTGACTCCTGTACCAAATGGTAGTTATCTTAGTCACTCTCTGTTTTAAATAGAAAGCAAAATGGTCATGCAAGATGGACAGATTTCTGATTCGGGGATCACATGCCATCAGTTTTTGAAGGTTTCTCTAAAGGTCATGAAAACATTTCATTTCATCATTGGCATGAAGTTGATTCAGGAGTGTTGTGGTGCCTTCCAAAAAGTAGGATGAACTCCCACCCAGAATGTGGTTCTAACAGTCATTGAGACTGCTGACATCACCCACACACAAAGAGGGTGATTGGCTCTGTGGACTTGCTCCATGGACTGGCCTTGAGGCCTCTCAATAGCGATGCTAACGAACAGTGGGCTACAGACTTGTTTGTGGCTACATCAGAGCTACCCCCAGTCCCCTGAGCAGACAGAGGCCAGGCAGTGACAGGGTGGTCAGAACATACATCATGTTGGACAGATGCAGTTTCCAGTGCCGGCTTCCCTGCTTACCAGCTCTGTTACCTGGAACAGGTTGTTGCTGATATCCTCAGAAGCATCATTTCTTATCTTTAAAATAGAGATGCTAATATCTTCTTTACAGGGTCTTCATAGGGATTAAGCAACTCAATGTATGCAAACTGCTTAGTGGTGAAATATACACTCATTCACATTCTTTTGGCCAGGAACATAGTTAAGACACTAAAGTTAGTTTTATCTTCTGTGGTATGTATGTATATGTCTGCACGTGTATGTGTGTATGTGCATGTGTGCATGTGTGTACATGTGCCTATTTTTTCATTTTGCCGGAGTGCTCTTGAGGTTGCCTATGTCACCTCTTGCTATTTGGAGTGTCCTCCCAGAGCTGGGACTTAGGTTCATATTATCAATGACTGTCCTCCACTCCACTGCCTAGACTGCTGGGGCCGCAGGGTAATGTTCCCCTGGCACCTGTGAGGCTGGAATGGAAGGAGGGGAAGGGTGGTATAGAACTGAGGCACAGTCTGACACCCAGTTGACAAAATGAGATCAGGTTAGTAAGTGTCAGCTAAAAGAGCAGGGAAAGTACAAAAGGCCTAAACCAAATACAAAGGGAACGGTCCAGAGCTTCCGTCTTTCTCTCCCCTGAAGCCACATAGGGAGCTGTGCATTTGCAAGTGTGTGCAACCCCCCCCACACACACACACACACAACACACACACAAAGACGTGCAAACTCATAAGGATTCTGCACAGACCTATTTTGTTCTCTCATCCTAACTCAGAGCCCAAACTATTAGTAATTACTTCTCGCTTTGTGACGGATGGCTGCCTGTCATGTTTTCATATATAGGTATTGATTTTTATAATTACCTGTTGTCCAAATACTAATCTCTCAGGCACTGGCTTTTCCAAATTTGCTCAGTCCTCTCGTCTTCCTCTTGCGTTTTATTGAACTGATTTAGCCCTTCGGTCTGCATTTCATCATTGGCATGGGCTTTGGTTGCACAATGGCTAGGCCATTGAGCAAAAGGCAGAATTAGATCTCCTGTACGTGAAAGTCATAAATCATGCCTCTCTCATTCCTTATTACAGAGCTTTGTATAGTCTTCATAAAATGAAGCCCAGAAATTCAGTTTTGTTCCAAATGATGCTGGATTTTATAGGTACAAAGTTGAAAAATTGCTTCCATAAATCAGAAAACGAAAGCCCTGTCCCTAACTTTTCCTACTGGTCTCGTGAACTTGGATTTGAGACAGTCTCCTGGTTCCCCTCCCAGCAGTGAGTAGGAATTGAGGGGAGAGGCCTGGGGGGTCCAGCTCCACAGCCTCTCGTGACACAGGTAGAGTGTGCCATTCCACCCGGTGCCCTGACCCAGGTGAGAACATTTAATTGTAAACACTTTGAATATCAGTGAGTGTCCAAAAATTGAAACAGGAAGATATCACACAGGCAATAATAATTCAGAGCTAAATTGAGGTAAGATCAGAAGAAAAGCTGTTGAAAATTTAAAGAGGATGGAGGAGGAAAGAGTAAAGAGAGGGACTGGGGGCTGGCTGGTTAGCTCAGTTGGTTAGAGCACAGCCTTATAACACCGAGGTCACGAGTTCAAATCCCCATACTGGCCAGCCACAAAAAAAAAAAAAAAAAAAAAAAAAAAAAAAAAAAAAAAAAAAAAAAGAGAGAGAGAGAGGGTCTGGATTATTGCTGCAAACACACCACGTGTTGGTGCAGTTCATTTTTACAGGCTAATGAATAGGCGATACATACGTGAGCCCTCCTGCTTTAAAGGGCAGAAGCATGATTGGCATGGACGAATGTCAGTAATATTTGAATTACGTCTGTTATCTATGCTGTCTCCTAAATTGTTGGGAATCTCACAGTCAACTGAGCTTTAGATAGAGGAATTATTAGGCTTGGAAGCTTGCTTAGGTGTGTGGTCTACAGGCATCTTTTAAGAGGTGCCTAAATATCAATAAGTTCTGAGTTTTTTCATAAATCCTTTCTTCATTATTTCTGGGAACTCCTCAGTTAAGAATATTAAGAATATCCTATTGATTTGGGGATCATACGAAGTGCCTTTCATGGGTAGTAAAGATATCAGTTTATTTATGTTCCACCTTCCTGCATTTTCCCCATTTCTTCTTATGCACACACTAGAGTGAGCACGCAGGTAGCACCCGTGCAGTCAGATGCAAGCAGGAGCATATATATATGCATGTGTTCACTATATGGTGGCATTCAAGGTAGCATGTCTCCTAGAGGTTAAAAAGTATTTGCATATTTTCAACTGACAAAAAGAGATTAGTTTTGAATTTTTAAATTTTAAAATATTTTATTATAAATTAATAAATTGATTGCATTTAATAAAAATTTAAATTAACAAAAATTTTAAATGTTTAAATAACTTTAAAATGTATCTTCTTTTAAACACAGGATCATTCACTTAAACATGCCTCTTAAAAAGAAAACCCAACTTTATTATACAGCATTATATGTGAGAAGGATTGATATGTGTACATTTCTTTTTTTTTTTTTTTTTTGTCTTTTGTCTTTTTCCGTGTCCGGCAACGGATT